CTAAATTATAAAAACCTCAAAAGGCCCAGATGGGGTGCATGCCTTTTATCTAGGCATTCAGGAGGCAGAAGCAGGGAAACTCTCTAGGCCAGTGTGGTCTACATAGTGAATTCCAAAACAGCCAGAGCTATAAGTAAGACCCTGTCTCAAAATAAAAGCTACCAAACAACAACAACGAAGCACATAATATCCAAAGTATTCAAACCATTTACATGTAATGTGATTGCTTACATATTTATTACTTTCTATATAATAAGTGTTTTAGTTTTTCTTTCCTTTCTTGTTTTCTCTGCATTAAATACATATTGTTTTGTTATTATACTTCTCTTATGAAATTTCTATTGTGTTTTTACATTTATAGTTTTTAGTTATTTACTGGTATTTAAATATAACAACAACAATGGCTTTTTTTTAGAAGTTTGGTTTTTGGTTTTTGTTTGATGGTGCTTGGAATGTAAGCAAGGAGATTATACATCTACCACTGAGTCATACTCTTAGCCCCACTGTATGTGATTATTGATGGTTTAAAGCACTGGGTTATAATTTGTCCCTTCAGTGAGGATGTGCCTTTGTTTCTGTATGGCAGTGATGTTCAGATATGCAGCCAATCAGGTATGGAGCTGTTTTAAAGCTGGCTATCAGTAATTCTTAAGGCTTAACTATTTACTATTCAGTTTTATTTTAAAATTATGTGTCTTTGGGGTAGCTCATTCCTTACACTTTGCAATCTGAAATACCGCTCCCACATGTTGAAGCCTAGCAAACTTCCAGAAGCCTTAATGTTTTCAGTTTCTCAGCCACCACTACTCGCATTGTGTTTGCTTTGCAGGTGTATTCTCCCTAGCTTCTGAGTCTAGCCAAAGGCAGTGCTACATTTTCAAACGTGTAGAAGTGAGTAGTAACTTCCTATAGGACTAATGAGAGTGCTTTCTTATTATCCTAGGACCCCATGGATCAAGAATCCAGCTTCATAAATTCTCATTTGATCTGTAAACAGAAAAGATCTAACCTAAGCCTAGAGAACAGACAGCAGCAATCTGTTTAAGTCACACCATGTTGCTCGCTGCTTTGACTCTATAGAAAATTATGGTACTTACATCTTGTCTGAGGAAATTTTGGACAAGTTTCTTTGGACTACTTAGATAAACTCGGTGAGTTCAGCAGCAGGAATTTAATCTCAGTCCAGAGGTCAGAAGCATGAAATCAAAGTTTTCTCAAGGTTGGTTCCTTCAGGAGGCTGTTATTCTTTTCTTTCCTCTAGCTTCTGGCAGCCGCTGGCAGTCCTTGGCATTCCTTAGCCTGTAGCTGTGTAACTATCTGCCCCTATGTCCAATTCCCCCTTCTTGCAAGGAAACCAGTGACGTGATTACAGACCACATGAATTTATTATGACCTTATCTTAACTTGTTAGCACCTCAAAGCCCCCATTCTACTTTCAGAAGTACCAGAGCATAGACAAATAGTTTTGGAGGACACATTTCATCTTACAGAAGCAGTTAAACGCCAGATCACTGTCATCTTGGAGTTCCTTCATTCTTGTATACAGGACTTCCAGCTTTGTAGTAGCAGTTCCCATAGTAATTACTGATGTGGAATGAACAGTCAGCAATATGGAAAAAGTGTTCTATCACAATTCTGTTTGGGAGGGTGTGCAGACTTAGTGGGAAAAAAACACTGACATTTCAACATCGTGAACCCTCTGGTTGGAGCTTTAATCACAAACTTCAAGTCTCTCAGAACTGTGTGGAAACAGTTGTTTTGTTACTTAAGTTCCCCTATCTTTGGTGTTTTCTTGTGGCAGCCTAGGATGACTAACACAGGCTGAATCAGTAAATGCTGCACATAACATTCCTATCATTTTGACCTTATATTTTTAGAATTGACTGAAATGCATATTTCCTAGGTGTTTAACCACATAAAACAGAGAATCATGTGATTGCAGTTCTTTGTTGATATTTCCTTTTTTGAGCCAGGGACTTACACAGCCTATAGCTGAGTATAATCTTAAGTTCCTATTCCTCCTGCATCTAGCTCCTAAGAGCTAGATGACAGACAGGAATTGCCCTACCTTAAACTATTGTGCTGCTCTTTGGTTTTCACAGAAGCACCCAATGGGTCACACTTTGACCTTCACCTTTGTGGTTCACTGGAACTAAAGTCTAGGTAGAAATGTAGTAGCAAAGATGATTGTAGGCTAAAGAGAGTCAGTTCCTTACAAGTTAATCCCTTCACTAAAGACAGAGATAGGCTGACCTCTTCAGAAGGTACTAGAAGAGCCGATTCTGCTGGCAAAGCAGAACTTACAATGGTTAGAGGGCTCTGCCTTATTAGAAGCATCTAATAGGATTGCGTTCCAGTTTTAAAATCTCATTCTTCCCACAAAAAGGCTCTAAGTTTATTCCTAGAAGTGTTATGACACTGGGAATTTAGTTTGCATAATTGAGAACTTCCGGAAGAAACCTGGCTTACCTTTTCAGAAATCTTAGCCTTTTAGATACAAAGAGAAACATTATTTCTGGTTAGACAAAATCACTTTCCCATTCTCTGTGGAAATTCATATAAGAGTTCAGATTTCTTTACAGAAAGTCAATCCTTTCTGTCTTTTTCCCAGCACAGTTAAGAGAAACCAACCAACCATTTCATACTATTGGATACATCGTATTCTAAGGTGCCAAATATATGTTCAATCCAATCCATGATTTCTATATGGCATTATTTTATTCATCTCTAATTCTGTATGTTGATTCTCAGTGCCTTCCTACCCACTGGGAATATGCTCATTAGTGCTTTGAACTCGAATCTTATTTTCCTAACACTCAAAGTCAAACTCATTTATGATCCCATTGCTCTGGAACCGTATTTGGTATAAAAATCTGTATCTTTTTTAGTTTAATTAATGGAAAATCAGTAATTTTTCTATCTCTAGCTATGTTGTAGGAGACTGCTTGTTTGTTCCCAGTTACCCAGACTCAAAATAACCACTCAGAATGTATATTATTTAAATCACTGCTTGACCAGTCACTTAAGTGTATTGCTAGCTAGCTCTTAAATCTTTGGTGAATAAATAAATAAATAAACTAATATTTCTATTATTTTAGATTTTACCATGAGGCTTGTGGCCTATTGGCAACGTTCCAGCAGGTGGCTTCATGGTGTCTCCTGGATCTGCCTTCTTTCTCTCAGCATTCAGTTGAGCTCCCCCCAGCTATGATCTGCCCTGCTAAAGGCCCAAAGCAGCTTCTATATTAATCAATGGTAATAAAACATATTCATAGCATACAGAGGAGAATCCAACATCACCTCCCATTTTCTGTGTAAATAAAAAGGAAGGTTTTAACTTTAACATAGCAAGATTGCATATAACAAAACAGGTATCAAGCAAGAATTGCAGTGATAACATTTATATCTACTTTATCTTTTATCATAACTAAGGAAAACTATGACTATAACTATCTATTCTACAACTCCATCAAAGACTCCAGAAGATATATAATATTACCCAACTTAACAGGAAGTGCATTGTAAGCAACTTCCAAAACTCTAGAATTTACAGAGACATCTTGCTGCCTGGCCAGTCCCCCAAAGTTCTGTAATTTTGGGGCATCCATATTCAGTCCATAGGCCCAGAGTATCCTGCAGACTTTTCCACAAAGCAGGAGATTTCAAAGACAGTTCCACTTATACTGGCAATTTGTCAGTCACTTTTTTCTCTTTTTAGCAGAATCATACATTACATTTTTAAGTAAGCTGCACAAATACAATACCTTAATCAAGAGCAAAAATATACATATAACAAAATTGACCTTAAATTTGTATCAATAGATCAAGATCTATATCAATGCAGTGTATTCATATCTACAGCATATCCCACTTTCCATGTAAACAAACATTTGAAAACAATATTTGGGAATTTAGGCATAGTTTTCTCCAAATTCCTTCCTGCTTTTTTGGGTGAAGTAACTTTTAGGGGTATTTATGGTTAACTTTCATGTGGTCTTGGTCCATCAAACCACGTTAGTCTGCAAGAAATTCATAGGTTCTCTCTTCTCTGGAAATAAAAGAAGAACCTCTTTTCCAAAGAAACCAGATTTTCTTTAAAATGACGTTATTGATGATTTGGTGGTACAAATTATTTTGTGAATTGTGCAGTATTGGCAATATTTCTGGTCTTGACTTACTAGATATCAGTAGCAGAATTCACATACCCACATAGTCACAACAACCAATACTATGTTCAGACATTCTAAATATTCCCTGCAGGACAAAATGGATCCTGGTAAGAACTACCAGTATGTCTATCCTTGACATCTTGTGTATTTCTAAGTTCTGTGTTGTCACGAGCCATTTCCCCCCTAAAAATCATTACAGGAACCATCACCCTGGGGAGTCTGCAGAGAACCCCACACCCATAATTATGTTCTATTGAGAGAACCTGCCCCACACCCAATTAACTTATCTGTTAGCAGAACACGCCTCACACTCCAGCTATCCAGGGAACCAGGTGTGGCAACTTGTGAGTTCTTGGCCTACCTGTCTGAATGTAACGTCTTGGCCTACGTGATGAACCTGGCCTATGTGACCGGGACCAAGAGATCCCGTGCCCTGCCCACAAAGTCCTCATTCAGGGCCTATATAAGCAGCAACCATGATCCTAATAAACGGAGGCTTTGATAAATCTGCTTGGCCTTCTTCTTCTGTCCTAGCTCATTCCCTTCCAGGTAGCGCCCCTCTGTGACCCTGGAATAACTGATTGCAGGGTGGGTTACAACCCCTAGACTGAGTAACCCACCCAAACGCAATCGACACTGTGTCTTTCTGAGACAGGTATTTGTTATACAGTATTGGCCTCATGTGATTTATTGGAGGACCATATGTAGTCCATATATGACTATTTTCTTGCATTTGCTGCTAAGACTCTACTGGTTAGATTTTATTCCCTTTACACAAACTAGAGACAGTTGGGAAGAGGGAGCATCAACTGAGGACTTGCCTCTTTCAGACTGGCCATAGCAAGTCTCTGGATCATTTTCTTGATTAATGACTGATGTATGAGCCATCCCACTATTGGCAGTGCAACCCATGGACAGGGGTGGTCCTGGGTTGTTTTGAAATCAGGTTGATTGAGCCATGAGGAAAAAAAATCAGTAAGCATTGTTCCTCCATGGTTTCTGCTTCTTTTCCTGCTTCCAGGTTCCCACCTTGTGTCATTTTGATAACAGAAGTAACCTGTATGGCAAATAAACAATTTCTTTTCCACAAATCATTTTGGATTAATGTTTTTATCACAATAATAAAAATCAGCATATGATGCAAGTTTTTGCATCATACCAACAGCATAAGTTAGCAGAATAACATACACAGGTTGTAGAATAACCAGGCCTTCCCTTCTAGAAGCCTCCACATCTCCAGTAATATACTGTTTCATTAACCAGAGTCCAAAATGAACAAGAGAATGAAGATGGGGAAATATAGTACAATTTAAGCAAGAGGACATATTACAAATCATTGCAAGATAGTTTTCTCAAAGCAGGATTCAAAGTAAGTCAAGAGACAAATGAAAATATTGATTTAGTTGAGACATTTTGCAATTACAAAGATTAAACAGAAGAAAAATGGTGACTTTATATAAGTCAAATATATTAAATATTCAGGAAACTCCACAACTTCTTAATCCATGTTTTTCAATATAATCAAGGCCACAATGGATCCATCAACTGTGCCTTCTAGGACTGGAGCAAGGACTCCAAGAATTTCTGTAGAGTTGTATGCTGTGAATATGCATTATTACCATTGGCTAATAAAAAATCTGCGTTGGCCTATGGCAGTGCAGAATATAGTAAGGAAGGAAATCTAATTTTTTTTTTTTCAGATAGGGTCTGTTTGCTGGCAGCGAGCAGAAGTGTAGCTCCTTTAAGAGAAAGTTTCCTGACTCAGCATTAACAGAAAAACCTCCACTGCTTCTTTAATAATCAGCTTCTTGTTTCGTCCTGGCAACACAAACAGCTCTGGATTTTTCCGGAGGTCTTGTTACACAGCGCTTGAATGAGGTTTGTGGGCAGCATGTTGCAAGTTACTTGCTTCCCAGAGTTGGGGTGGTAAACATGCCTCCCAGAGCAGGTGGTAAATGGACCTCTGACATGCTGGAAAGCCAAGCAGGATGGAACCAACAGTCAAAATGGCTGCTTTGATCTTAGCCATACCTGCTTATCAATTTTAAACAATTGTCTCTAAAGTATTGCAGATATGCAATAAAGACAAATTCAGAAAAAAAATAAACCTTTATATGGATCATAATGTGTTTAAAATGTACATAGGTTTAAGAAAAAAGAAACATGTATATAGGCAGTTTTAGGAAGAAATAGTTTTTAAAAATAAGTCTTTAAAGAGACAATAAAAGCAATATAAGAGTACAGACCATCATAGATGAAAGGATTAAAGATAATAAAATAAATATTAAAAACTAATAGAGAAAAAATAAACTACATCAAGATGAAATATACACAGAGAGTCTGAATTATGTATACTATTGTGTTTTCTTTGAATATTTTGACTGTGAATGAGCTAACTATAGAGAGATATTTCATTGTATAGGCTGCTAAGCTAAACAAGCATATGTATTTTAAAATTATCTTGAGTTCAAAATTTGTATCTAAGGATATGTTACTTTGGAAAAGAAGTTCTGCTTTTGTTTCCACAGAATATGAGAACCTATGGATGCCTTCCAGGCTAATGTGGTTTGATGGAACAAGAGCCTCCGAAAGGTCTTTATGAACCCTAAAAATACTTCACCCAACAAGCAGCAGGAAAAAATTTGGAGAAAACTATACCCAAATTCCCAAAAAGATTGTATGTAAAAGTATGTTTTTATTTAAAGGGGGTGATTATAAATATTTAATGGCCACAGTCAATTTCTCAAAAAAAAAAAAAAAAAAACATAAGGGGGACTTGATATAAAGGTGGTACTTTGCATTGGTATAGATCTTGGTTTATTGATACAAATTTGAGGTCAATTTTGTTATCTGTATGTTTCTACTCTTGTTAAAGGTTTATGCTTATACATCTCATTTTAAAACACAATGTATAATTGAAAGTTAGATTAATTAGGAATTCATTTATAATAGTCAAACTTCTAGTCATGTTAGTTATGTTTTCTAGTTATACAGATATACATTCCAGTTAGATAGAGAATCTTCAACACTTCAAAAACCTACAGAATATGGAGTGTAAAAGGTTTTAAAAACTTAAACTTTTCTCAGCATGGTCCTTCAGGGTTCTTGCTTCACAGAGAAAATGACTAGACATTCTGCAGGACACAGAATAAAGTGACTGACAAAGTGCCAAAATAGGTGAAACAGTCTTTCAAATGTCCTGCTTCATGGAAAAGTGCCAGGTACTATGGGCCTGTAGGCTGAAGATGCATGCCCCAATGTTACAGAAGAACACTGGGTGATTTTCCAGGCAGTGAGATGTCACTGTCATTTCTAGAACTTTGGACGTTGCCTACAATGAATTTCATGTTTACTTAGGTAATATCATATACTTTTAGGGTCATCGATGAAGCTGAAGATAGTTATAATTTTCCTCAGTTATAATAAAAGACAAATTAGATGCAAAAGTTTAGACACACAGAGATAAGATAGATGATAAAATATTTTCTTTAATTTTTGCCTAATACAAAGAGACTAGGTATTATAACTATAATTCTTGCTTGATATATATTTATTTTGTTATATATAATTTTATTGTGTTAAAGTTAAAACCTTCATTTTTATTTAGACATAAAGGGGAGATGATATGAAATTTCCCTCTTTATGTTGTGAATGTGTTTTATTATCATGACTTATTAATAATAAGTTGCTTTGACTTATGTCAGGAAACAAAACTGAATGCTAGAAGAAAGAAGGCAGAAGCATGTAGCTGCAAAAGAAGAAAGATGCCAGAAACTTACTGGTAAGCCACAGCCTCATGGTGATACACAGATTAATAGAAATGGGTTAACTTAAGATGTATGAGCTTGCTAGGAATATGCCTATGATATTGGTCAAACAGTGTTATAATTAATATAATTTCTGTGTGATTATTTGGGTCTGAGCAGCAGGAAAACCAATGTGCAGTCTCTTCTTACAGTTTATCTTCAACAAAAGCCGTGCAGAAACTTAGTCTCTACCATGGCAATGTTTAATGGGTGGTTGGTCATGGAATCATTAGTCTTGGGGGGGGGGCTGTGTTATGAGAGTGAGTTAGCTTTTTTGGGACTTAAATGACCATGCTTTCCATGAAAATATGTTGTTGCTGAGGTTTTTGTTCTTTGCTCAGCTGGGATTCCCATACACCAATGTGATTTATTCTGAGTATGCTTGCTTCAATTTCTGTTTCTCTGCCAAATTGTGATGCAGTTTGCATTATTATAGTAATACCAGATGAAAAACATCAACACCCAACATACAGTATGTCGATTGCGTTGGGTGGGTTACTCAGTCTAGGGGTTTGTAACCCACCCTGCAATCAGTTATTCCAGGGTCTCGGAGGGGCGCTACCTGGAAGGGAATGAGCTAGGACAGAAGAATGAGGCTAAGCAGATTTGTCAAAGCCCCCGTTTATTAGGATCATGGTTGCTATTTATATAGGCCCTGCATGAGGACTTGGTGGGCAGGGCACGGGATCTCGCAGCGTGGTCCCAGTCATGTAGGCCAGGAAGTCACAAGTTGCCACACCTGGTTCCCTGGATAGCTAGAATGTGAGGTGCATTCTGCTAACAGATAAGATAATTGGGTGTGGCAGGTTCTCTCAATAGAACATAATTATGGGTGTGGGGTTCTCTGCAGACTCCCCAGGGTGATGGTTCCTGTAATGATTTTTAGAGGGGAAATGGCTCGTGACAACAGTACTGTTTCTTCCCAAGCTGATATCCACAAACCGAGGAATGGCATGATACCTCTTGCTGTAAATGCTAATGACACATTGGCGAAAGTCTGGTTTTCACCCCAGTTAGTTAAGTCTGGTGGTACGGGGTCCTTAGTTATAAAGAACAGAATGCTTTTTAAAGTATATTGGGTATTTTATCATCACTCTGACTAAATAGCTGTCAAAAACAACTTAAGAGAGAAGTTTTATTTCAACTTGTGGCTTCAGACAATTCAGCTTTTGCTCCAGCAAGTTGTTTTGCATTTAGAGCACACCAGCAACTTCAGGGTAGTGGGAACATGGAAAGATTAGTGAAAGAAAAGAGTTTATGTAGGCCCACTGCTGCACTTTTGCTTTGAAATGTGATCATGGTTGGGAACAATGCTCCTCCTCCTTCTGTTTCTTCTTGAGTAAATCTTGCCAGTCCTGGATGAAGTCACCACAAGCCCTGTGTGGGTAGGTGCTGCCACCAACTGACTGTGATTTTTCACTTTGACTACAGAACTCATCATTATTTAAAGTACTCATGACACAAGCAGGGTTCATTGGGTGACCTCTATCCACTCCCAAACAGAACACTGTTTTCATCTAGGATGTTAATCATTTACCCAAATACACAGTAATCACATTGTATACTTTATACCTAGTGCCTAAATGAAAATGTCTCATGCTGTGAGAGTTTTGCTTGGGGTAGTTGAATAATCATCACACAGCAAATAGTCAGGAAGTGGGTGTAGAGGATTTTGATAAGATAAAGAGGAGCAGAATGGGTGAGGCTGGATGGGATGAACTATTTATACAGGTTGGGTATAGTAAGCATATTAGGGGAAATGGAGAAGCAGGAGGACAATAATCAAAAAGAATAGGGTGAAAGAGTGGGGTAGAAAAATGAGAAAGTCAGAACATGGAGATGGCTCAGCTGTAAAAGCACTTGCTGTGCAAGTCTGCATACCGATGTTCAATTCCCTCAGAAGCCATGGGATAGACCCAGGTCTCCCTAGGTTAAAATGGGAGGTATACACAAGAGAATCTTGTATGTGCAATGCTCCTGTCTTACAAACAAGGGAGAGGGGGGAAAATGGTTCTCGAAAGTTATCCTCTGAATTTCATGCAGAGGTACTCAAATTCACACACACACACACACACACACGCACACACACACACACACACACACACAAATCTTAAAGAAATAAAATGGCATTAGATTCTAGGGATTTTTTCTAATTTATTTATTTTTTTATTGGAAAAAAAATTTCCGCCTCCTGCCAGCCTCCCGTTTCCCTCCCCCTCCTCTCCCTCCTCTCCCCTCGCCCAACTCCTCTCCCCCTCCCTCTCCAGTCCTAAGAGCAGTCAGGGTTCCCTGCCCTGTGGAAAGTCCAAGGTCCTCCCTCCTCCATCCAGGTCTAGGAAGGTGAACATCCAACCTGGCTAGGCTCCCACCAAGCCAGAACATGAAGAAAGAGCAAAACCCAGTGCCATTGTCCTTGGCTTCTCAGCAGCCCTCATTGTCTGCCATGTTCAGAGAGTCCAGTTTTATCTCATGCTTTTTCAGTCACAGTCCAGCTGGCCTTTGTGAGCTCCCAATAGGTCAGCCCCACTGTCTCAATGGGTGGATGCACCCCTCACGGTCCTGACTTCCTTGCTCATGTTCTCCCTTCTTCTACTCCTCATTGGGACCTTGGGAGCTCATTCTGGTGCTCCAATGTGGGTCTCTGTCTCTATCTCCATCCATCGCCAGATGAAGGTTCTATGGTGATATGCAAGATATTCATCAGTATGGCTATAGGATAGGGCCATTTCAGGTTCCCTCTCCTCAGCTGCCCAAGGAACTAACTGGGGACATCGCCCTGAGCCCCTGGGAGCCCCTCTAGGTTCAAGTCTTTTGCCAACCCTAAGATGGCTCCCTTAATTAACACATATACTTCTCTGCTCCCATATCCACCCTTCCTTTATCCCAACCATTTCATTTCCCCAAGTTCCCCCCATCCTCCCCTTCTCAATGTTCTCTCCCCATCTCCCCTTACCCCCATCTCACTCTACCTCAAAGATCCCAATTTTTTTTCTGGTAATCTTGTCTACTTCCCATATCCAGGAGGATAACTATATGCTTTTCTTTGGGTTCACCTTCTTATTTAGCTTCTTTAGGATCACAAATTATAGATTCAATGGCCTTTATTTATGGCTAGAAACCAATTATGAGTGAGTACATCCCATGTTCATTTTTTTGGGTCTGGGTTACCTCACTCAGAATAGTGTTTTCTATTTCCATCCATTTGCATGCAAAATTGAAGATGTCATTGTTTTTTACCGCTGAGTAGTACTCTAATGTGTATATATTCCACACTTTCTTCATACATTCTTTCATTGAAGGACATCTAGGTTGCTTCTAGGTCTGGCTATTACAAATAATGCTGCTATGAACATAGTTGAACAAATGCTTTTGTAATATGATGGGGTATCTCTTGGGTATATTCCCAAGAGTGGTATTGCTGGGTCCTCTGGTAGGTTGATCCCGAATTTCCTGAGAAACCGCCACACCGATTTCCAAAGTTGTTGCACAAGTTTGCATTCCCACCAGCAATGGATGAGGGTACCCCTTCTTCCACAACCTCTCCAGCACAGACTATCACGAGTGTTTTTTATTTTAGCCATTCTGACAGGTGTAAGATGATATCTCAAAGTTGTTTTGATTTGCATTTCCCTGATCGCTAAGGAGGTTGAGCATGACCTTAAGTGTCTTTTGGCCATTTGAACTTCTTCTTTTGAGAATTCTCTGTTCAGTTCAGTGCCCCATTTTTTTAAATTGGGTTAATTAGCATTTTAAAGTCTAGTTTCTTGAGTTCTTTATATATTTTGGAGATCAGACCTTTGTCTGTTGCGGGGTTGGTGAAGATCTTCTCCCAGTCAGTAGGTTGCCGTTTTGTCTTAGTGACAGTGTCCTTTGCTTTGCAGAAGCTTCTCAGTTTCAGGAGGTCCCATTTATTCAGTGTTGCCCTTAATGTCTGTTCTGCTGGGGTTATACATAGGAAGCGATCTCCTGTGCCCATCTGTTGTAGGGTATTTCCCACTTTCTCTTCTATCAGCTTCAGTGTGTTCAGATTGATATTGAGGTCTTTGATCCATTTGGACTTGAGTTTTGTGCATGGTGATAGATATGGGTCTATTTTCATTCTTCTACAGGTTGTCATCCAGTTGTTCCAGCACCATTTGTTGAAGATGCTTTCTTTCTTCCATTGTATACTTTTAGCTTCTTTATTGAAAATGATTTGTTCATAGGTTTGTGGCTTTAAAAAATGGGTCTTCTATATGATTCCATTGGTCGACTTCTCTGTTTTTATGCCAGTACTACGCTGTTTTCATTACTGTAGCTCTGTAATAGAGTTTGAAGTCAGGGATGGTAATGCCTCCAGAAGTTCCTTTATTGTATATGATTGTTTTGGCTATCCTGGGTTTTTTGTTTTTCCATATAAAGTTGATTATATTCTCTCAAGATCTCTGAAGAATTTTGATGGGACCTTGATGGGGATTGCACTGAATTTATAGATTGCCTTTGGTAGAATTGCCATTTTTACTATGGTTCTCCTCCCAATCTAAGAGCAAGCAAGATCCTTCCATTTTCTGGTATCCTCTTCAATTTCTTTCTTCAAAGCCTTAAAGTTCTTGTCAAATAGATCTTTCACTTCCTTGGTTAGATTTACCCCAAGATATTTTATGCTGTTTGTGGCTATTGTGAAAGGTGAAGCTTCTCTGATTTCCCTCTCTGCTAACTTATCCTTTGTATATAGGAGAGCAACTGATTTTTTGAGTTGATCTTGTATCCTGCCACCTTACTAAAGGTGTTTATCAGCTGTGGGCGTTCTTTAGTGGAGTTTTTGGAGTCGCTTATGTACACTATCATATCATCTGCAAATAATGAAAGTTTAACTTCTTCCTTTCCAATATGAATGCGCTAGGTCCCTTTATGTTCTCTTATTTCTATTGCTAGAACTTCAAGCACTATATTGAAGAGGTATGGAGAGAGTGGACAGCCTTGTCGTGTTCCAGAT